AAAGTTTGAGGACCATTGCGCTCTTATTAATGCTCTTTTATTTTTTATTAAAGGATAAAATTTGTACTCTGGAAAAGTCAGCCTCTAAGCCAATTAGATGGCTCGATGTTGAATGGAAATTACATTTTAAATATTTCAATTGTCTCTTTCTAAATTTTAGGGTCCAATTTTCAACGGAGTAGGTGTTGCCCTGTAACAAATTTTAATTTCATTATAATTAATAAATATATTCCAGCTGTAGTCCGTTGATGATATCTCCTCAAAAGTATGTCAATGATTTAGACTAAATTAAGAATCAATCATTACAGACATAATAGACTACACATTGGCTCTCGAAAACTTAATTAGTACTATGGTGGAAAGTAGGGGTGGAGAACATGTTCCAACATTTTTAAATGAAACTAGTAGAATTTGCAGATGAGTTTCACTAGTTATATATATATAAAAAGTTTGCAAATGAGTATTTACCTGTATAAAAAATGGGTTCCGTAATGATTACAGTAAGTAATACATTTAAAGTATAACAGGACAAAATTAGTTAGTATACCAAAATAATTAATTAATTAATTCGTGCAGGTGCTGTTGTTGAAGTAACGTGCAAGGCAGGGGACAAGGAGATCAAGGCCTACGGTGAGACCAAGATCAACGGTAAATATAGCATCCCCGTCGATGGCTTTGATTACGGGAAACATGGGGCCGAGGCTTGTAAGGCCAAGCTCCATGCTGCACCAGAGGGGTCCCCATGCAGCATCCCTACTGATCTCCACTATGGCGACAAGGGCGCCAAGGTTAAGGTGAAGTCAAAGACTGAGTATGAGGTTGTGCTTAAGGCAAAGCCATTTGCTTATGCACCCAAGACTCCTTATAAGGAGTGTGAAAAGATCAAGCCCAAGCCTCATCCTCCTGCTCCTTACTACTACCAGTCACCACCGCCACCGGTCCACTTCCCTCCACCTCCCTACTACTACAAATCTCCCCCCCCACCGTCGCCATCTCCTCTTCCGCCATACTATTACAAATCCCCGCCGCCACCTCCCTATTACTACAAGTCTCCCCCCCCACCGTCGCCATCTCCTCTTCCGCCATACTATTACAAATCCCCGCCGCCACCTCCCTATTACTACAAGTCTCCCCCACCACCAGTACATTATCCCCCACCACCCTACTACTACAAATCTCCCCCCCCACCGTCGCCATCTCCTCTTCCACCATACTATTACAAATCCCCACCACCACCGCCCTATTACTACAAGTCTCCCCCACCACCAGTACATTATCCCCCACCACCCTACTACTACAAGTCTCCCCCCCCACCGTCGCCATC